GGGAGGTGTACGAAGACTCGCAACAAAGACAGAGGACAGTGTGATGGGGCAGAGCCTAAAAGTATATGCAGGTGCAGCTAGACGCTCCCAACAACAGCAGGTCTGACTCGCTTTCTGCAAACCTTTCCTGCCCTGCTTGTTGAAGTCTGGCTTGCTCCCACTGAACAGTGTAGCTGAAGCACTCGTGGACACTCTGTCCCAACCAGGCAGAACCACGAAACTGGATTTCCAGGCATATGGGTTCCTGATGGATATAACTAGCAGCCAGGGTTAGCACGGACTCTTATAAGGCTGGCTGGCTGGCTTGCTGTCCCAGCAATTTAAGAGAAATCCTCTTATTCTCTACATTAGACAATTAAGAAAAAGTCTCATTCCCCCTCCAGAGAGCGAGGGAAGCAGAGAGCGAGCATTTTTTTCAGGTGATCTGGCTCAAATGCCAGCTGTGCCAGATGCTATTTCTGAATGACATATGGACGTGACATTTCTGGAGGCGGCACGGTGTCGGTTACAAAGCTCAGGGTCATTTTTGGGAGGGACGTAAGTGTTGCCCGTGTAAGGCTTAATCTACTCGGATACGAGATGCCCTGTGCAGCCAATACATTTCATTTGGGATTTGTCATTTTAAAGGTGTTGACACTCTGACCACAATGGAGGGGATATGTAGGACCAGGACTTGCTCTGCACATCTTCATCCAATAGTCTAACCTATTCAGCTTGTCATGCGGCTGTCAGCTGGTCAATGGCTCCATTTCTGCCTTCTTTTCAGTGACCTTATTGCCCTAGGGGTGCTTAAGTAATGAAGATGTGACTCATTCTCTTCTGCATCTACCATTCTTCCCCCATCAAGATAAATATTTCCCTTAATGAGAGGTAAGAAGGTGGGTCTCCTTAACTATTCACACACAATTAAGGGTGTGAGAAAGTCAGAAATCAGTGAAGTTGCCTTTCTCCAAACAAAAGGTTTATTTCTAGGCAAACATCAATTTAGGATAATCTTGCACATGTTGCTAGTGTGCTCCCTATGGAAATCTGATTGCCGGTATCTATTTCAACAAAGAAAATCTGTGGAGATGGACTAATTTCTGGAAAATTAATCACATAGTGAAGAATAGTTTTAATTGGGAGTTTCAAACTTATTTTATAGCTGCTAGAAAACAGTTTCACATCAGATTCAAGGAATAGGTGTGGCAGAAATACACGTACCCTCCTAGGAAGCTGAAAATGAAAGTTAATGTTTAGTTCTCTGAATTACCTCCACATCAAAAAAAGCACAAAAGAGACTTGTCTTCCTCCCAAGGCAATAGGTTAGATTCTCAGCTGAAATAACCCAGCAGAGTCTCAGTGAATTCACTGGAAGATGACTGTTTGTACCAGTCGAGAATCTGGCCTACCCCCAAGTACCACTATCAAACTGAGCCTTGTGTTGACTGTGGTTCTCAGGAATTACTTTTGTTTTAACAATGCAACATTTCACTAGGGTCCTTCCCCCAGCACAGCTTACATTAAAAGGGAAGCAACTTTTCTTCTGCCAGCTGGTGGCAGAAAAGTTCCTTCCCTTGAACTTTATCACTTCTGACCTTTCCTACTGTATTCACACCTGGCAGCTGTGCCACAAAATAACCCAACAAGTCTGACATGACGATTGGTTCACACCTATTTGAAAAGACCTTCTGCTCACACACTTTGTGGGTTATAGGATTCCCTTATTATGTCCCACCAGGTCTAGGTATCTGAACATAATTAGGCCAGGATCAGACTCCTACTACCTTCAGCTACCTAATTTGTGCCCTCACTAACAGATGCTTCTTAACTATGCCAACCCTCCACCCCCCAAAAAACCACTTCCTGATATCTACCTATAATACAATGTGGCATAAGCAGTTATACTGTATCGTGTTATTCACCACTCCGATCCGTATCAGAGGTTAGGCATTATTTACCCACCCTATCTCAAGTGCAATAATTTACGTCAGTCAATTCCTTTCAATGCAGAACATTAGCCCACAGCCCTTGACTCGTTTGAGTAAAACTTACTCAAACCAGGAGTGCCAGAATAAAGATTTGACAGATCTACCCTTCAGATTCCTTGCACTGAGAATTTAACCTTCCGCTTAAATAAGTGAGGCAAGTCAAGGTAGTTATAGGTTTCTACGTATATCACTTTTATATAGTGCATATCAAGTACTATATTTTTTCCAGATACAAGAAGATGAAGCTTTCTGCACTGGCTTGTATTCCTGTGAGAATATAAAGACAAGACTATCTCTCTCTTCCCAACGTATTAGTGCCTAGTAATACAGACCAGATGATCGATACACTACATAAAAATTAAATCAAACTGACAGTCCTAAAACAGTGTGCTCTAAGCAGGAACAATCATCTTAAAGATAGTGGTGTCAGGAATATTAAAACTGCATGCTGTGGTGTTATTCAATTATTTGTTGGAAGCCAGCTGACTTTTTCTAAATGCATCTGTCAATGAAATATCCAGCGTTGCCATGCTATTTTTTATTCTACAAATCACTACAGTGCGATGCTTGTACCTTGGTAAGGGGAGGAGAAAGGTGATAGAAGGCTCTAGTATAGATGCATCCCAAACACCAAAAGTAACTTAAAATGCCCATCGTTTCCTTAGTTGGTAAAAACTTCTAAGTTTCATGAACTGTACCTACTTGCTTGTAACTATGTCTTTGGAGCTAACAGAGGTGAGCATAGGTGATGCATACTGTGCAGACACAACGCAAAGAAGGGTTAAATTACTTCCCTGAGGATATACAGCTAATCTGTGCTGGAACCCGGATTGGAACTCAGGTCTTTGACCCCCAGACTCATGTTTGATTCATTAGACCACAGTGCCCCCTGGATACTGTTTACAGACATATCCCTTGTCTTTCTCCTCTTGCTTTTTTTAAATTTATTTTTGGTCAGTATAATGTCCTGCAACACACCATTTTGAGATAAATTACTAAAAAAAAAAAAAAAAAAGACTGTTTTGTTGCCCTTCAGCTGGGCTGGACATATAAACGTATGCATTATTATGCACCTCTTTTTTAGAGAACCGCTGCCAGAAACATCAAACCTACATTGCTCCTTCACTCCTCTGTCAATGTGTCTATCCGAAAAGCTACTGCTGTTACTTTTCAGCATCACACACATGTCTAAGACAGCAAAAGAGACCTCCCCCCAAAACAGCAGACCACAGAAGAGCCTGCTCCACCAAAGCAGAATGTACCCTGATCCTAATGGATGTAGGATCTGGCCCAAACAGTCTTGAGGAGAGACTCACCATCATAACCACCAACATGCACATGCCTGGGCTCTTGGGTTTGTCTAAGGAGTCAGGGGAAAGTTACTGCTAATAGGCGGTTATCACACACTTCTGTGTTTGTACAAGTACACAGCAAGGGAAAATGAGCATTCAGCAAAGCCTGCTGGAGATTAAGCAGCCTGTTCTGAATCCTTTTAGTAAGTGTTAATCATCATATGATACATAATAAAGTACCAGAGAAAGCTTTCACTACATGAAACGGTGTCTCTGAACTGCAAGGGCTTGACACAGCATCTCCCAACCTCAGCAGAGTGTGCTGGGCAGGGGATGGATGTGTTTTCATGGGACTTCCTGTCCATCTATTAGACCCTGAGATATTGTGAAACTGCTTTTCCTCCTGTGAATGATTTACAACATGCTTTACTGCCTATCAGCTTGCTGAACTGGAGACTGGTTGATAAAAAGTATTGATCATCATCTTGATCATTTGGTGAGACCCTGGGCTGAAGAGTGGCATAACCCCGCTGCGGTCAGTGCCAGCTTACACCACCTGCAAATCTATCCCCAGGTCTGTTCATGCCACAGATCTGTTCTGATACACCAGGAGAAGGGACTTGCTTGTTCATAAGTATGTACTCTCCAAGACCCCCACCACCTTGTTATCTTAACAGGCTTGGTAGCTAAAATCTGGAATTTCATCTTAAGCTTGCCTAACCTGACCTATTTCAAAAGGCTTTCAGAACTGAGGGCCTTAACTGAGGATGCAAGATTGTTTCCTTGGTATTTTTTTTTAGCAATGTGACATATCTCACTTTTGAACCTCCTACATGGACCTGCCACAATATCCACTTCTGTGCAGCACTGAGTCCACCAGGACTTACCCCCTCCTTTTCCTTGGTGACAGATTTGCACTCACGCTGTCCTCCAAAACCACTAAAACCTAAGGCACCGACAACCTGTTGGCACAAATTACACAGCATCTTCCAAATGCAAACAACTTTGCTTTGTTTCCGCCTGCAGTCTGGCCTTGGAGTGAGAACCCGCCACACTTTCCCAGCACAACCAGTTCTGGGGATGGCACCTAGCGGACCACGGTGTGTGCAGAAGCAAATCTTAACTCAACCCCCGCCCCCAAATATGGCTTTTTCAGGACAGCCAGCAAGGGGGACAGATGCTGTGTTAACACTCAGGAGCTCTCCTGCCTGCGGGGACATCCATTTTGCTTGGATTGGCACCAGCACAACTTTGCCTTGCACCACATTTCTGTGTGGTGCTCACTGTGTCACAGGCAAAGCAAGCCACTTCCAGTGCCCCAGTGGCCTCGGGCAGCTACTTCACCACCACGCTCCTACTTTTGCAGCAAAGCCATCCCATCTGCACACAGCCAGGACAAAGCTGTTCCTCCAGCAAAAAAACCAGCAACAAAAAAACCCCACTAAAAATCTTTGCAATGCACTCTTTCGTTTCTTTTCTTTTTTTTTCCTCCTCTGCAAAACTTTTCAACCCGGGCAGGCACTTTGCAAACACACACTGGCTTGCCTAAGAGCAAGACAGAACCAAAATAGCTCTTGCAAAAGAATTGATCCGCAGCCATGCCCCGGAGGGGGGGATCCTGGGCAGCGGAGCAAAAGGCACGGAGGCAAAGTTAGCAAAGCGTGGGGTGGTGGGGAAGGTGAGCTGGTTGTGTGGGGGGAAGAGAAGAAAAGAGCTGGAAGTCGGGGGAGGTGCTCACCCATGAAGAGGCAGAAGAGGTCGAGGAAGATGAGCAGCACTTTCTTGCTGCTGCCCTTGGCCGGGTTGTTGTTGAGGGCCGGGCTGCCGCCGTTCTTGCTCTCCGGAGCGATGGCTTTGTCGTACTTGTAGTTCTGCATCCTGCGGCGTGCCCGGGCCGAGTCGCATAGGCGGCTCGTCCCAGGGAGGAGGAGGTGGGGGGAGGAAGGGAGGAGAGAGAAAGTTTGCTTGGTTTTTTCCCCGCAAAAAACGAGACAAGTCCTTGCAAAACAAACGAACAACAATAATAATAATAATAATAATCAAAATCAAAGCCAGCGATGGGAGCAGGCAGGAAGGGGGCACTCGGGCTTCCCCGGGCTGGGGGCTGCGCCTGCCGCTGCCACCGCCGCTGTGCGAGCCCCGGCCTCGGCCCCGCACTTTTTATTTCCCGAGGTGCTTTCCACCCCTTCCAGAAAAAAAACACACGCACACACAACTCCGAAGTCACTTGGGCTCTGCTGGGATCTCCAAGTACAGCCCCCTTCCTGCATCTGACAGAGGATAATTAACTCCACATTTTTTTTTTTTTCCAGTGGACAGAAAAAAAGAGAGAGAGTCGGGAAAAGTTCCTGAAAACTCAGAAGGAGAGAGCCCCTAGCGTTCACCCGGCGCGGGAAGGGAGAGGAGGAGGAGGAGGGGGGCAAGGGGCCCTTCTCTGCACCCCTCCGCTGGGTTTTTCTGCTGGGCCAATTTGAGGAAACGCTGCCCTGCCTTGTGAGCCAGCCCGGACTGAACTGTGATCCCCAAGCAAATGCTATCTGCCAGCACCACAGACAGCCCCAGGAGCAAAGCCTCGGGTCCTGAGGGCACTGGCACAAGGGTCCCCAGCCTGCAGGGCAAGGGGTGCCCCGAGGCAGTCCTGAGCTATTCAGGAATCCAGAACTAGTGTCCCTCCATCAAAGTGGAGCCGCTTTGCCCTCCCAGAAGAGGAATGTGGTGTTAAAGAAGTTCAAAAAGCCGAAGCCGTTGGATTTTGGCAAGAACGGTCCTCCGGTCCGAAGGCTGCACACATACTATTCATCCAGGATTATGACATTGTGTTAATCTCCCTTTGATCGAATTAAAAATTGCCTAGGAAGTAATGGAAAGTCCTCCTTGGAATCCTGATTGGCAGGGTTGCAATCTTACCCGCTCTGTGGGCAAACCAGGATGTGGCACTGCTGGGAATTAATACTTGGTGGAAAGGGACGCTGTGCCTAAAGATGCAGGGCCACCACATATTTTTTTCCCAGGGTTGGACCTGATCCTTCAATCCTGACACAAGCAAAGCACTGATTTGGCCAAGTACTGAGTTGTGTCCTGTGCAATCTCAGTGAATCCTAATAGGCGGCGAAAGGGATTGCTGCTTATTCTAGTTGCCAGAAGCAACTCCTAGAGCAACCCAGCAATAACAAGGCTGCTTCTAGATGGGATGGGGAGGAGGGCAATGGGTTTCCAGTAGGGAACCGTTCCAGGTTCAAATTTCTAGCTTTGGAATTCGCCTCTGTACATAGCACGTGAGCACAGCAATGTGTGAACATTCGGAGAAGGGGTCACAGGAAACTAGTACAGACAGTAAAAAATCCTGAGCCTGAATCGATTCAGTCTTGGCCAGTTGATCTCCGTGTGTAGATTGACTCGATAAGCAAGCAAACAGACATGCTCTTCCAGAAACCAAGCCACCTGCCTGCAGTGCCTCAGGCCAGAAGCCAGGGGGTGCTAGAGCACGCCTCCCTGCTTGGCTGGAGCAGACAGCTTGGGCCCGCCAATGCTAGCCTGCCCACCTTGTGAGTGGTGGCGGGGTGGGGGTGCTGTGGAGGAGGTGCAAAGCATCCTGGGATACTGGGAGACTGTGAGTTAACTTAAACCTGGACAGAAGTTCAATGAACCAATTTAAACTAAACCAGTTCAATCTGATATAACATCCATCCAAGTTTACCTTAAACTGGTTTGAGCCGTTTTGGAAGCACTTCATACGCACTGAACTGCTGTTGTGTTACAGACTGGAACTGGTTTCTTATCGGTTACACTGATATGTGTGTAACTTCTGTCTCTAGGGGGCTATATGAGAAAGGCTGGAATATAGTGCCTTCTTTCTCCACAAGAATTCCTCATGGACCCATTTAGACAAAGTCCAAATGACCCTGCAACTCCTTTGATGCAAAACTCCCATGGTAACTGTGGATGATGGTAATCCACCATGCATACAGGCCTTACCAAATCCTGCCTTGCCTTTCTTACATGGGCTGTCTCAGAGGAAATCCTGGGAAGGTGAACAAGATTTTATCCTCTAGTGGGTGACAGACAAAAGAAATCTGGAAAAAAGTATTATCTTAGCTATATTAATTTATCAACATGATTTGGTAAAAAACCCTCATATATCCCTTTCTGAAGAAAGTGTGCTTATTTGTGCGCTGTGACCCAGCACAGGATGTACTTGGACCTCTGATCTGAGTTCAAATGCCTCCACTTTATTCCTCCACTAGAACATGAACCATCTCTCTGCCACCTACATGACACCCAGGGAAACTAGTGTGTGGCACATACTGTCAGGAAATGGGTAACAAACCGGGAAGGATTTTTGATTCAGAGAGGTATCATGTGTTTTGGGACCACTCTTGGTTACCTGTCGGGGGATGTGCTTTCAAGTCCCTTCTAACCCATTTGCAAATAAGTTTATAATAACAGTCAATAGCATCCAGTGTCTCTCTCATTCGTACTGGAATCTTAGCAAAAACAACAAAACAACTGCTAAAGTGAAATGTGTCCCTGTTGTTTGTCAGAGGCAAGGATTTCCTTTTTTTTTTGGTTGATATCTTTTATTGGACTGACTGTGTATTTGGGATAAAGTTGGGCAAGCTTTTGAATGCAAAGCATTCGTCTTCAGGTCTGTTGTTTGGAAACATGTGGTTTATGAGATGAATTCACTGGTTTAAGGGCAGGCTGAATCATTTTGCATTAGGTTATTTCGGAATATGTTGACTGCAAATTATCCCACTTAAAATGCTCTGGGTTAAATTCAATTAACCTTTTAATGTGAGGACGAAACAGTTATTGTAAAAGCAAATGAAAAATAAAAGGGGCCTTCCTTGTACTTGAAGGGAAAGTGAGAGGTATTTAAATTAAAGTTTTTCATTATAAGGCCCCTCAGGCTATTCACGTTTACATTTTCATAACAAATTGATTGTACTGTTAATCGATGCAAGCAATGGCACACAAGTCAGAATTTTGGATTATTTCTTAAGGGAACAGAGCGCTACAATTATCCACTGTAAAGTGTGAACCAAACAAATTGTCACCATTGAAAACTAGCTTCCATGCTTTAATAAATAATGGGCAAGACAATTATTTATAATCATTTCTTTTACATTCATTTATTCATTCATCATTTATTCATTCAATCATTTATAGCAACTACCATTTTAAGGCCTAATTCTTAATTTCTCCCCTATTCAAAATTCCTGCTGGCAGTCAAGTTTTCAACTGATAGAAAGTCACTGAATTCAATGCATCGCATCGGTCGAGAACATGGCCCTGGGTATCTGAGGTTCCTAAATCTAATCCCACTGAAGTCAGGGGCAACATTTTCATTGACTCGAGTGGTAGTCAGATCGATCCCTGAGTGCATCAAGAACACAGGATCAGGCCCTACGAAGATAATCTTTGGTTTTGGTAAAAGTAATTACTGACTAGATTGACAACTGTTTAACTTAGATGTTCCACATACCCAGTATTGAAATAATAACTACATTTCAGTTAGGTAGTTTGTCATTTTTTAAATGAATAACTTCCTCTGAAGATCATTGTGGTAACACAAAAATGGCCAGCAGGTAGACGCAGCATTTTGTATCTCTCCACCTCATGGGGCTATTGTAGCAACCTCGGCGAAGGCTTCCCATTTAGTAACGTTACTTTTGAAATTCAGAGAAGTTGTTTTGAGTCAGCGTGACTAAGCATTGCACTTTAGCCCAGACAGCATTTGATTTCAGTCACCCCTGAAGTGACTCTCATATAACCTTTTTTTGTGTGTGTGTGTAAATGTTTGTCAATCATAAGATACTTTGAGGTCCCTCAGGAAAGAAAAGGGGCTCAGAGTTAGAACCACTGAAGGACTTAGGCACTAATCCTAACTAGCTTTCACTCAGGGCACCAAAGTAGAAAATTGCAATCTTCATAACCCTCTCCCAGTCATGGGCAACTGGTGCTTCCCGAGTCTGGGGGGGGCACCAAATCACTGATGGGGGGAGGAGGGGTCCTCAGCAACCGATCATCAATGGGTGGGGGGGCATCCAGCAGCCAATCACTGAGCCAGCGGCGAAACCAGAAGTGCACTTCCAGTTTCACAGCTGGCACTTCCAGGGAGTCCACGGCTGATCTCATGGGGTGAAGGTGCACCCACGTGCCTCTGCTACACATTGCCAGTGCTCCCAGTTGTTTCCAAACTCTGGAAGTTGCCCAAATCCCTACATGCCTCCCTTTTCACCACTTCAGGTACTTTGGTGCTTAATGATCTGCTCTTGGACTGGCCAAAAGTTTATCAGGGGTGCTCACCAGGACCTGGGGGAATGTCTGTTCACCAGAGCGCCCCAAGGGATGACGAGGTCGAATGGTCACAAACTCCTCCATGACCATTTCAGGCTGGCCATAAGGAAGAACTTCTTTACTGTCCGAGCCCCCAAGGTCTGGAATAGACTGCCGCCAGAGGTGGTTCAAGCACTCACTTTGAACGCCTTCAAGAGAAATTTGGATGTTTATCTTGCTGGGATCCTATGACCCCCGCTGACTTCCTGCCTCTTGGGCAGGGGGGTGGACTCGATGATCTTCCGAGGTCCCTTCCAGCCCAAATGTCTATGAAATCTATGAAAAATGCCTGGGTGCTGAGGAGGTTGTGCTACTTGCAGAGGAGTCATAGTCAGCTTTCCAGGAATGGGTTCATTAGTTTATCCATCAACTAAAGGAGAGTCATAACTGGGAGACAACTTCCTGCCCCCGAGCAACTGTTCATAGCTGGTTCTGTCCAACCAACATGGATACGTTTGTACAAGCTGCTTAAAGGACCCGTGCCTTCATGGAGGTCAGGCTCCAACTCATGCCCAAGCCTTGTCAAGATTCAAGCAAACTCGGTGTTTCTTTGCCTCTCTCGCCTGCAGGGCCCCACCTGGTAGGCACTTTCACAGCATGGCTTCAGCTGTCCACAAAATCAGTTGTCCTCCTCTTCCTCCAACAACTTAGAGGCTGAAGGCTCACCCAGAATTTGAAGATTCAGGGGATTCAAACTCTCATCACCTACCTCCTGAAGGGAGCATGTCGTAAAAATCATGCTGAAAGTTATTCTGGGGCCGGAGTTTCTCAGTCTCCCCTGTTGAAATCGTTTCACTTTGCAAGGAGTAATTTGGGAATTACCAAATCAGAGACAGTAGGAGCGAACAGGAATCATTAGTCCAGTGGTAGGGCACCATCCAAAGCCTGCCCAGTCTCTGCTTTAGGGACTCTTTAAATATTTTGTGCAATGATAGTTTAGTTTAAAACAATACATAGTCGCTGGAGCAGAGGCTG